CAATTGTTTAGCACACGTTTGATCAAAGGATCGGCTTCACTTGTCTCTTTGACGAGTTGTTGAATGGTGCTAATAATGGCGAGACTCACTGATGATGCTGACTACGATACCGGCGAAACGTCTGGTAATGTACCACGTCCACGGTCCCACTCTGGAAATGATGATGCATACAATGGACTACGGACTAGGTGCGTTCCTCTAAGTCTTCCTAACAATATGACCATGTTGCGAAAACAAGGTAAAACAACCTCTATACATAAAGGATTTATATTGATAAATTGATAGTTGCTTAAGGGGATTAAGCTTATATTATAGAAAACAAACGCTTAGACGAAAACATAGAAAATATATTTAACGTAGCGTTAGCATCTGGTCGAAAATAAATTCAATCCTAAATAATCTCAGTAATTGTGGAAATTTCCAATCAATTTCAAATAAACTGATTTAAGCAATAGACAGATCATCACATGCCTTTAAAAACAAGATAGAGCTAAAACGAAATAAGCGAGACCTGGATAGGTGAATATGAGGAGAAAAGTATCAGTCAGTTGGATGATCAAACCAGTTACCCCAACCATATAAAGACATGTTTTGCTATAAGTTTGCCCTCTTGCTGAAAAGTATTTATAATTTACTTCTAGTATTCATAAATGATGAACCTAATAAAATGCCTTAGATAGTGATTCTGTCGAGGAGTAATAAAAGAGAAGATTTGATTTTGAATCTCAAGAAGGTATATAAATGAGCTTTGATACAACAAAAAATATTTTTCTAAAATGCATCGGGGTTGGATTCCAAATCAATCTCCCTTATCAGCATTAGACATAATAGTCTTCTTAAATTACCTCTTAAGTTCGGAAAGTGATACAAAAATTAAGGGAATACTGTTATTACATACCAGAAGTATAAATCTCATATGTCCAATAGGTCCCAAACCCAGGACATGGCAGTTTAGCAGAAATGCTAACCCATATACCACAGTCTTGACAGGGCAAGTATGAATCATGGGTGAAGGGGGCTGAGGGCATATTGATACTAGTAATGTCTATTATATCGTCTCAAAATGTGTCGTGGTGGTGCTGTCCTGAAATCGTAATATTTACAAGACCTTAAATTATTATGGAGGCAATTTCTAGATAAGTGCGTCTAATTTAACTTTTTAACAGTGTAAATAGTGAAGAATTCTCCAAGGCAAGGTAGTCTGGAAGGGCTGGTGGGGCAATGCAATTGTTGCGATATTGCAGTATTTATTTTGAATCTGATTGGCGTTGAAATTTTAATAATCGTTTTGATTTACGAACAAAGTGTAAAATTTCACGTAAAGACGATATGAAATCATGGAATCTTAAAGAAATCACGGAAAACTCGCCATGTTGATCGCCTCTCGACGGGAACATCTTGAAACCACATCATCATCGAATTTGTACCACCGATTATCTCCTTTAGGGTTAAGATAGGCAACGTAATGACCACCATGATTGTCTCCTGAGTGAACCAAGACAGCATGCAAGAGATAACGTCCGGGCATACAATCATTCTCGCTATTAATACACTGTCTGGAGCGCTCAATTTCATCGACACCTGAGAGAGTAGAAGTAATTGAAGAGACTTCGCCTTCCCCAGAAGCATAACCGGTGTCCGTGGAAGACCGTTGCCCAGAAGAAGCCAAGAAATACTTGTCAAGATAGAGAAAATATGGGAATTCGAAGCGGTCATTGATTTTTACATTGGCGTCCATGACACAATCATATTGAAATCTCATGAGTTGTAGGTAGAGAACAGGTGGGAAGCGAGTGAAAATGACTCCTTTTTCAGCAGCTTGAAGGCCGAAATTCCCAGCGTCATATTTGTTTTCGCCATCAAGAGTTTCAACGCTGACATATTCCTGATGTAAGTAAAGTAAAAAAAGG